TGAACATATTAATAATAATCAATATCAAAATTGTAGGCCCTTATTGATGGCCCAACCACCGGTGTTACCCGTCATTCTCATGCATTCCGTCGCCTAACCTTAACTGATCTTGTAATTAAAGGCTTTCCTAGAGGCGGTCGTTCATCTATAGTAAAGAAATACCTCGAAAAGGGAAACATCTTGGAGAAATGGAATCAGACAGCATGGGCCAAGAAGTTGGAAAGTCGTAAGAGGAGAGCCGCCTTGACAGACTTTGATAGATTCAAATTATTGAAGCTAAAGAAGCAGGTAAATCGGCATGTATTATATTCGTTTGGAATATTTTAGAATCTTAATTAAATATTTGATTTATAATACAACTCCTTAACTAGCGTCGTCGCATTATCCAAGTAGAAGCTGCATCCCTTAAAAAAAAGTGATTATAGCGATTAAAAACTTTTAAGCTTAGCCGAATCGATAATTTTGATACGACTAAGCCGGCTTGGTCAGTTATTACCTCAATATTACATCTACAATAATAAATGCAAACTCCCGTTGGCCATGCTCGTACTTTGTTTTAATTTTTTTTTTTTTGCATAAAAAAAGATCAACAAAATAAAATAAAAAAAAGGAATTATCAGTCATTATAAATCGAAGCGACTAATGAATTTTTTTTAAAAAAAAATCAATTCAATTATGAATTTATTTAAAAAACTCGGTTTTATTTATGAAACCGTCCTTTTCGTCCTAACAAGGAATGTTCCCGAAAAATTTTTGAGTTAGAAACCTTTTAACCATTATTTTATCAAACATTAATTTAATCTTAATCAATTGTTTGTTTTTTAAATTTTTTTTAATTTACCTTGTATTCAAGCGCCTTTCTCTATGGTTAATAAAATAAAATGATATGATTGGCTAAAAAAATTAACCATTTCGGGGGGACGTCTAAAGCGGAGGCACTCATATTTCTTAATAATATTCTCGATTAACTTTAGGGTTATGGTCATCCTATATTAGTGTTAGGATAGGTTTTAGGTAGTTAGATATAAGCTGCTTCGCCGGCGATCATCAAAATTCTATAATTTGATTGGCGGTTGATCACATGATGTGCCTCCGCTTTAGACGTCCCCCATTTCGGTCATCTTCATTGCTCTGATTGGCCGAATTTGCAATAAATTTTTCACTTAGATTTTTCAATGATTATGTGATTAAATGAGCGATTTTGACTATCAAAAATCATTTCTGCCATTTAAATTTAAATATTTTCGACACCCATGTATAACTTTAGGTATCGGAACCAAGATTCTAAAAAAAAAAATCGTATTAAAAATGTGACGCAGATTTCGTCTAAGAGTGTGATACATTTTATTGAGGAGAAAATGTTCGTTAAAGACATTTCGGTGTGCATAAGTTGACAATAAAAGGAAAGATGATTAATTTTGTCATTTTGATTATTAGGCAGGCGCTGAAAAAAAGTGTCTTCTTTCAAAAATTGAAAGGTAATAATGTTTCTGAGAACAATTGAAGGTGAATCAACAGAAATCAAATTTTTTATAATAAAACTTTGAACAAAAGCAACAAAAAATTGATTAAATTTGATAAAAAAATTTTAAATAAACTCAAAGAATTAATTGTTTTTTAAAAAAATGGTTATTTTTGTTTAGAGTTTAAACAAATTCATTCAAAAAATTACCTTGGTTTCTATTGACTCACGAAGCTACGTCGCGACAAAACTAATCAAGAAATTATTTGTCTTCAGAGATAATCGATTCTAAACTTCTTCCACCAAATCGCCCTACACTTGTTGATATAGTATGTTACGGAATAGGAAACATTGAAAAGTCCAACACATCACAATATCAATTCGCATTAATGTTACTTTTTAAGAACTTATTTAAGGTGAATTGGAAATCTTCGTCGATAACAAATTTTAGAACATTAATAATACATGTAAAACATTAAAGATAACAGGAAAAATGTATGCGTATGATCCTATTCTTTCTCAAGTTGACATTGAGATCTTAACCCACTATAATATAGAATCAATTAAAATTAATGAGGTATGTTTAAAATTATTATTGCCTTAAAATATGTAAATTTTGTCTAATGGAATCTTCTTGATGTAATAAAGAGAGCGAAACGCGCTGTCACTAATCAAACCTTATTCTATATGCCACATTGCCCACTTGGATTATATAATAATTTGATTGGGGCCAATTGGGACAGAATAAAATTAAAAGATATCATTATCGTTGGAAACCGGTTGGACTTTTATAATGAAAGGTACATATATCACATGATCCGCACTAAATATTAAAAATAAAATAATAATTTTCGATATTTGTTAAGAATGACCACAGTTTCTCTCGAACGTAAAGCGCCTTATATAATACCAATATCCTTTCTATGGTCACTGCTTGTATGTTTAATTTCAAATAGTGATATTGCGCCGCCTTAACCTATTTATGTATCTTTTACGCGTTAAAGATTCTCCAAAGTCATCTTTTCCCTTCAACTACTGTCCAATCTCTCGCGGCACCGGATAATACCTTTAACGATTTATGTTGGCAATGGTTTCCAATCGACAGGATAAATGCGTATGAAGGAGATAGCGAATTTTGGATCTTGAAACACGAATCGGATAAAGATCCAGAAATTATTTAAATATTAAAAGGAAACAACTCATATATATACAAACGTAAAAGTCAATTCGTTGATAATAAATGCGAATGAAATTGTTTTCAAATTTGAAATATTTTGCTCAGTGAAATTTCAACAAGTTCGAAATTAGTTTCGCCTGTAACATAGGAAAAGAATTTTATAGCCAGATTTTGTCCAGAATTAACGTCAAAATTGCCGGATTACGGTATTTCCGCATCGTATTGCGGCAATGCCGCATTATATTACGGTATTGCCGTACTTATCTATATTTGTGTAATCGACAATTAACGCGACATTGCAACAATACGGAATCGCGGAATCTTGTAAATTAATTTTGACGTCAACTGCTCCGCACATAAAAGTTTTTTTGCGCACAAAAAAAAATATAAAATTGTGCGCAAAGCATAATTTATTAGCAGTATATTTTAAATAATGTGCGCTATATAGTTAATAAATTAAAAGCGCACATTATATTTAATAACTTGTGCGGCATACGAATAAATTTTTTCTCTGGTCAACTGTACTCAAGCCCTTGTTCAATTCAGCTTATATGTGGTTGATAAAGTTCGAACCATGACTATATAAATATATCAAACCGCAGTTCATGCCATGACTTTACAATTTCATTGGTAAAATGTTTTGTACTCTAACAACTATGGCTCGAGCTGATATTGCATCTTAAAGATATGGCTCTACGTTATTGTATTTCCATGATTCAGATTATTTTAGTTACATGAAGCCTGATTTCAGTCATTAACATTCTCGGATTCTAAGGTCGCATGATTATTACGAACTGAATTACTCTCTATTTATTGACCCTACCAAACCTTACATTCCTTTACCATCAATTCGATACAGTCAAACAGTTCTTTATCAACATCCTTATCATCAACAGCATTCTTTAATGCCAACCCTATCACCACAGATCGCCTGTCATTGGGATTTTCGTTCGCAATTATAGTAGCAATATGTAATGCATACAATTGATATAATGAAGAAAATCCACCAAGTAAAAAATTAACGTTAGTGGTAGTGCTTGTAGAGAACGACGATAACGGTTTTGAACGCGAGTCGAATGTTACATAGGCCTATAGAAATAAATATTTCAAATGTTATATTTAATGAAAGCGATTATTGTTTATATTTAAATAAATATTGTCTCGTTTACCAAACTTCCAATTTTCCCATATTGTGTAATTATCACAAGAATTTTATCTCGAAAACCCGTAATTAATGTTTCTGTATGTACACCATTGATCACTCGCGCTGCTTGCCTTGTTTGTAAAGGAAACTTTGTAGAAGACGGTGACTGCTCTGAGTAAATGGACATTTTAAATTTTCGTGGTTAGCAAAAAGCCCATGAGCGTCGCGGAAGTCCGTTTTGATTGTTAAAATGCCCTGGAAAAAGAAGACATTCATATGATTGGTCAATTTTGTAGATCTACCGTGATTACTCGTGATAATTAACCAATCAAATTACACAATTTTTATCGTTATCGTTTTAATGCTACGTACGTACGTATATTTATCACGATCATGAGTCAAATTTGTTTTGATTGGTTGTTTATTTATATTGTTTATAATAGAATAACCTAAAATGTAAAAAATATTAATCAATTTAAAATTTTAGAAAGTTATGCTTTAAAACCAAAATTATCATAGCGTTTGAGATCGATCCAGTCGGATCCGGTCATTTCACCAACTTACCTTAGGAGCGTATAAGTGTATAGTACAAAGTCATTATATTAAATTTTTTTTAATGATTATAAATTTTTTTTAAACGAAACAATTAATAAAATAAATATTTTTTTTTTTGATTTAAAAGTTCGAACCTCACGTGAGCAAGTCATAAAACGTGTTGAAAGCAAGGATGATTGAAATTATTAATCGGTTTTACAAAAATTGCAACCAAGGAGTACAAGGAGTAAGATGAAGTTGATCTTTAATTTGAATTATAGGTTCGATTCCAATCTCTAGCCATGCAGAAAAACAAAAACTACACTACCTGCAAAAGGTTGAAAGAGATGGTTTTTTATCATTTTGCATTGTTTACCTGATATATCAGGTCGTGCGTATCTGCTGTATCTGCTTTAGTTATCAGATCAATGCCGTGATAATTAACCAATTTATTCCGATTTTGTTTTATGATTTGTTTTATTCCTTATATACCATTAATTACGTTCCTACTTTTTCATTCTTTAATATCAATTTTTTTATTCCTTATATAACCATTAATTACGTTCCTACTTTATGTATATTTTAATAATTTTTTAGTAAAGAAATATAATCTAACGTATCTGACTTATTGATAAATACCAGTGTTGTTAATAACGAAGTGTTCTAAATCAAGGTTGGCCAAGTAACTCATATTATCTTTTTTTTGTCAGAAAATTAATATCAGATCGAAGCCTCATTTTTGTCTAAATCGCAAATTCTATTTTGTATTTTATCCTGTACTTTATTTTATATTAATAAAGCTGGCCCTGGTGGGTGATTTCGTATACATAATTAGTCTACTTTTGCATGTGTATTTCGTGAATTTATTTTATTGTACTGTATTGATATCGATGTATATTAACTCACATATGAT